AGCTGGTGAGCAGTGTGAAAGTGGCGGCGCAGGGCGTGGGCGTACTGCTCTTCGGCTTCCGACAGGTCCTTAGCTAAAGACTGGACAGGGAGGAGAGAGTTACCATTTTATCTGAAGGCCACCTGTGTGAGAAAACAACAATGTACTCAGCTGGCTAGCTGAATGGCACGATGGCGTCTTCTTTTCTTCTTCGTTTTCTTTAAGGTATTAATGCCAATTCTTTGGCCTTGACAGTGCTGGCTCTCCTACTCACTCACTTTTTTTTCTCCTGTATTTGTAATAGAGTGTGTGTGCAGTCACGTGAGATAGAGAGAGATAAGCACCTTCCACAGGGTCTGGTCCTGCCACAATTCCAGTCCTCTAGCCCATTGCATTGTGGGCACTCATGCATGTGCCTGGTGTGTTTCAGGCTGACCAGACTGACGATTCGAACTATGGTTGCCATGTGGGATCCAGTTTCCCTTCAACAGTGCATTACTGCTGTCCATGGAGCTGGCCCTTCTACTCTTAAATATAAAGCAAGAGTAACATTAAGCAGCCCCATGAAACCAGCAATATCCAATGGACAACAAACATTTATGATGATGGAGCCTTCACCAAAAGGAACCAGGAATTCTTGGGTAAATAGCTACTTCAAGGTCTAAGACAGAAAATAAGTTGAACTTAGGATATCTTGTCATTTAAAGTATGGGGCCAGCAGGTGGTGTGGTGGTGAAGGCACTGGACTCCCACATGGTCAACTCCAGTTTGAGTCCTGGACCTGGTGGCTTGCTCCCTCACCCTCCGCCCCCATCTCTCTCTCTAGTGAGCACATGTGCCCTGTGGCAAACAAACAAAAATAATAATAAATAAAATTTAATTTAAAAAGGAAAGAATGAGCCAGGTGGTGGTACAGTGGTAACATAACTAGAGCCACATGGTAAAGGTCCTGGGTATGATCCCAGTATGTCGTTTGGCATGCTGGGTACATGTGCTCATGCCCATAGTTCAGGCTAAGACGGGGGTGGATGATGGTATGAATACCCTATTGGTGGTGCCTATTGCTCTGTCTCTCTCTCATGAAATAAATAAATAACCTTAAAAAAAAAAATGGGGCTAGCAGGTGGCATGGTGGTTAAAGGTGCTGGAGTCCCACATGGCCGACTGCAGTTCAAGTCCTGGATCTGGTGGCTTGCTTTCTCACTTTCCCTTTCTCTCTCTCTCTGTCTCAGTCAAATTGAAAAATAATAATAACAAATGGAATTAAATAAATATATTTTTTAAAAAGACAAAATAACGAAGAAGGTATCAAAGACTAATAGGGTCATTTCAGAAGGACTCAGGAGCCAACTCAAAAGTGACTTGCTGTGGCAGATTATATTTTCCAAAGATGAGCCAGCAGGTGGCATGGTGGTTAAGGCGCTGGAATTCCCACAGGGCTGACTGCAGTTCACGTCCCGGACCTGTGGCTTGCTCTCTCTCTCTCTCTCTCTCTCTCTCTCTTTTTTTGGAGAGGTTTTTACTATAGGGCACGTGCGCGAAAACAGAGATGAACAGACAGAAAATGAGAAACCCCCCCCTGGGGGGATGGCCACACCACAATCCCTTCTCCTCCAATCTCTTCTCGGGATCTTGGGCATGCACACACATGCACCCAGCGTGAGTTTAAACCACTGGGTCCGGGACTCAAACTGTGGTCGACTACATGGGAGTCCAGCAACATAACCATTACACTAACTGCTGGTCCCATTGTGGCTTGCTTTCTCACTCTCTGTCTCTCATTCTGTCTTTCTCTAGCAAAACTCATGTGAAAAAAAAATGATAATAATTTTCAAAAAAAAAAGAGAGTTTTTTTTTGTTTGTTTGTTTTTGTTTTTTGCTATAAGGAGTGTGCACTCACCGGAGAAACAGAAAGTGAGAAATCACCCCTCAGGGGGCATGGCCATGCTTCAATCCCTTCTCCTCCATCATTCTCTCTGGATTTGGGGCATGCATGCACACGTGCCCAGCGTGACTTTTATGCTGGCGAGTCTAGGACTTGAACCATGGTCAACGACATGGGAGTCCAGTGATGTAACCATTTCATCATCTGCTGGTCTCAACCAGTAGCCTAGCTTTTCATTAATTCACTAGGCCTGTTCTATTAAGAGAAGAGGTCAAGGAAACCATCTCAGGCGTTTCCTTGGAAAGCGTGCCTACCTTGATGACACTGTCCTTGCAGTCTACCACTCGTTCAAATGTTTGGCTGAGGATCTCAATGTCCTTGTGCAGCTCTCTGGTCTTGACTTCCCGAAGGACCGTTCTCCACTGTGTGTTAATCTTATTCAGGTTCAGAGCACTGTTGTGCTCCTCCTTGGCCAGCTTGTCCTGTGTGAAGGAACACACACACCCCGGAGTCAGGACAAAGGCCCTGACATGTGCAACAAACAAGATTACTCTTAATGTGTTGGCTGACACTTTACCCCTTATCTTTTCTGAGGGACCAAAGCTGGTGGCTAACACTCAGGAGGTTCTTGTTCCTACTCTTACTTTGGAATGACCTGAAGTAAGAAGGGAACAGCTTAGTAATATTTTAGGGAGAACAAGGGTGAATTTCCTTCAGAGAGGAAGCATCAAAGCAGGGTGTTGTTTGTAATGTTCCATTTCCATGGTCAATATCCAAGTTACAGGCCACGGGGACCTACTGTCCTAGTTCTCCATTGGGATTTGCCAAGCTCTTTAGTATCTACCCCTTTCTGTGGTCTGCAGAGAACTACCCCATCTTCCACACAACACTCCCTGAGATCTACGCATATCCAGGCCTTGGGATTTCCGGAGAAGAGGCAGGGATGGCCAGGAAACTGCCACGAAAACAGGACAGAGGTCACAGGGCCCAGTGCAAGGGGTGGGTGGGGCTGGGCAGGACGTAGTGCAGAAGGCATCACCTTCAGGAACTGGCTGAGGAGCCTCTCTTTCTTCTTAGCCATCTCCTCCTCTGCCAGCAACTTCTGCTGAAACAGAAGCAGCTGCTCCTCATCTGACAGGGGCGTCTTGGCCTTTTTCCCTTTTTTAGGCATGGCAGGGCGGGGGACTGGATCCGGGCGAGGAACCTCAGCCTGCCTCGGCCAGAGTTAGAGAGGACAGAAATAAAACGCCCCTAGAAAGAAGCCTGCTAGAGATGGCCCTGGGCGGCGGTGGGCCCTTAGATCCCAGCACTCCGCCTAGAGCGAGCCCTAGCAATCGGTGAGATCTGGGAAAGTTGCATCTCGTCTCCTAGCAACGAGAGTCTCGCCAGGACGAAGAGGTGAGAGTGTAGAAGAGGTACGGTCTTGGAGCGCCCCCTGCCTGCTGGAGGACTGTGGTCAGTTTTCGAGAGAAGGTTCTTTTTACCTCTCAAGAAAACAGCCTCCTCAGTGCACCTTTTGAAATTGTGTGTGGTTTTTTAAAAGAATTATTTTATTTAACTTTATTTGTTATTTATTTTAATTTGACCAGAGAGGGATAGTGAGAGAGAGAGAGAGAAGGAAAGTGAGAAAGCAAGCCGCCAGGTCCAGGACTTGAATGCAGTCAGCCACGTGGGAGTCCGGCGCCCTTAACCACCACGCCACCTGCCGACCTCCTTTTTATTTATTTTTAATAGAATGACCATAATAAAAATGTTTTAGATCGTATGGAGAAACAGGGACCCTCATATATTGCTGGTAGAAATGTAAAGTGGTAGCCACTTTGGAAAACAGTATGAAAATTTTTTTCTTTCTTTCTTTCTTTCTTTCTTTCTTTCTTTCTTTTTTAAACTTTTTGTTATAGGGCGTGTGTGCTCACCAGAGAGAAAGAGAGAGAGAGAAAAAGTGAGAAATCACTCCCCGGGGGGATGGCCACACCACAATTACTTCTCTTCCATTCTCCTCTCAGGATTCACACGTGCCAATCATATTTTCCAAGCTGCTAGGTCTGAAACTTGAACTATGTACTCAGCTATGTGGGATCCAGTTCCCTTAACCACCATTCCTCCTGACTGGCCCAATATCTTAAAATGTTAAACATACATTTACCATGTGACCCAGTGATGTCAGTTATAGGGATCTACCTAAGAGAAATAAAAACATATCCACACAAAGGCTTGCACAAGAATGTTCTTAGCTATACCTCTCATAATAACTCAATTGGAAAACTTGAAAACAACCTAAATGTCCATCAATATGTGAATGGATAGACAAAGTATGCTATGCTCATACAACTGAGTACTCTTCAGAAACAAAACCGAGGGAGCAGAAGATGGCGTAATGGCTATGTCACTGGACTCCCATGTAGTCAACAGTGGTTTGAGTCCCAAACCTGGTGGCTTAAGCTCATGCCAGGTGTGTGTGCATGCATGTCCAAGATCCCAAGAGGAGAGTGGAGGAGAATGGATTGCAGTGTGGCCATTTGCCCTGGGGGATGATTTCATGCTTTCTGTCTCTCTGTCTCTCTTTCTGGCGAGTGCACGCGCCCTATAGGAAAACAAAACAAAACAAACAAACAGAACTCTCCAGAAACAAAACCGAACAAAATACGAATACCTGCTATGATGTAGGTGAACCTCAAAAATATGGCCCGTAAAAGAAGCCAGACACAAAAGATCACATATTGTATGGTTTCATTTATATGAAAAATCAAGAAAAGGCCAAGCTATAAAGACAGAAAAAAAGATTACTGTTGGAATCCTAACGTCAAATGGAATGGCATTAGTAGGTGGGAACCCTGGGTGATAATTAGGTTTAGACATGGCAGGAGGGTGAAGCTCCCTGGTGGAGATTAGTGTACTTAGAGACTAGCACTGTCCCTCTTGACCTGTGAGGATAGGGGACTGCTGTCTACAAACCAGGAAGCGTGCGCTCTCCAGACGCCAGGTCTGCCAGTGCCTTGGTCTTAGGCATCCAGCGTCCCCTAGACTGTGAGAATGAAATGTTTACGGTTTAGGACACTCAGTGCGTGGTATGGTGTTATGGCTGCCGAACTAAGACAACTATCCATTAGCTGGGGAGAGGGAGGGGAGATTAAGAGAAAATGTATATTAGGGATCATACTGGGATGATGAAAATGTTCTAAAAGTGATTTATGTTGGACAACTTTGATAAATCTGGTTTAAAAAGTCACTGAATTATTTAATTATTGAAAAGGGTGGGGGCTAGCAGGTGGTGTGGTAGTTAAGGTGCTGGACTCCCATGTGACAGACTGTGGTTCGAGTCCTGGACTCAACAGCTTGAAAATCACGCCAGGCGCATATGCATGCATGCCCCAAATCCCAAATCCAGAGAGGATGAAAGAGAAAGGATTGTGGTGTGGTCATGTGGCTATTCCCCCTGGCAGGGGGTGATTTCTTACTTTCCCTCTCTCTGTCCTGCAAGCACACATGCCCTTATGGCAAACAAACAAACAAACAAAAGCATAAAAAAATAAAGAAAGAAAAGAAAAGAAAGAAAAGATGGAGGCAGCAGGTGGCATGATGGTTGAGGTACTGGACTCCTGTGTGGCTGACTACAATTCAAGCCTTGGACTTGGTGGCTTGCTTTCTCTCTTGCCCTCGCTCTGCCTCTCTAGTGAGTGTGTGTGCCTATGTTAAACTGGAAAAATAATAATAATAAATAAAATTAAATAAGTAATTATTTAGGAAAGAAAAGAAAAGAAAAAAAGGGTGAATTATGTGGTATGAGAATGTAGCTTGGGGCCAGCAGGTGGTCTAGCAGTTAAGGCACTGTGAGAAAGAGAGGGAAAGTGAGAAAGCAAGCCACTAGGTACGGCTCTTGAACCATGGTCGGTCATGTGAGAGGCCAGCACTCAACCACCACACCACCTGCCAGCCCTGTGGTGTGAGTTTTAAGCTACCAGGTCCGGGACTTGAACCACAGTCAACTTCGTGGGAGTCCAGTGACATAACTATTACACCACCTGCTGGTCCCTCGTAACTGGTATTTATAATCATCCTCTTCACCATCCATTCTGTATTTCCTTCACCTTCAGCAAGCACTACAGAGGTCGTGGTTCATTTTCTGGTGAGGCGACACAAACCTTCATACCTGAACAGTCTGGGCCATTTGTAGTCGTGTCTGGATTAGGTTGTAGTTTTCCATCGACCTTCATCACAGGGTCTGGTAATACTAAGAGATACCTGGAGGGATTGCCTGTGTTGCAGGCATGCTCTTACTTATCTCCATTATGCAGCAGCATTTCAGTTTCTCCTTGGTAATTAGGACCGGTCACCTCGACTAGCGTAGCAATCTCTGTTTTTGCCTATTGATTCAGAGGCATGGGAAGCCCAAAGTGGCCACCTACCTGTCTCTTGTATCTCCTTTTGGGAGCATTTCTCCTTTGAAACTAAGGCCTCTGGGCTGATAGAGCCTGAGGCCCGGGAAGAGGAAATCGTTTTGCTAGGGCGTCACTAGGGGTAATGATGAGTGGTGCCATTCCCATTTATTTTTTTTTAGAATTGTTTTATTTAACTTTATTTATTATTGTTATCATTATTATTTTTTAGTTTAATCAGAGAGAGACAGAGAGAGAGAGAGGAAGTGAGAAAGCAAGCCATCAGTTCCGAGACTTGAACCGTGGTTGGCTATGTGGGAGTCCAGCGCCTTTAACCACCATGCCACTTGCTGGCCCCGCCATTCCCATTTCTATTCCTTGGTTTTCTGACCCCCGAATCCTGGCTGTGGGAGAAGCAGGGGCACTGATTTGGAGCATATATAACCTTCTGGAGAACCCTGCCCCAGCCCTGCAGGGCTCTGTCACTGAGTCCTCCAAAGGCCATTTCACTCTTCTATCAAGCCGTCAAGCTGGTCTTCGGGTTGCTGGGGGAGGTGGTGAGAGCAGCGAATCCTGTGGGCGTGGGCCCGTTGTTGCACTTCATTTTCTATGAGGTGAATTCCTTGGCCAGAAGCAATGTTGTGGAATGCCACGAGGCTGGGTGAGACACCCTGTGAGTCCGTGGATGATGGTTTTGGCAGAAGCATTGTATGCAGGGAAGGCAAATCTTAATTTGCTCTTTCCCATGTGTATTTGCCATCTGGACATCCTCTTTTGCGGTGTGTCTAGTTATGGTTCTTGCCAATTTTTACATTAGATTGTATGTCTTTTATTGATTTGTAGCACTTCATTCTATGTTCTGGATATAAACCCTTTATGTGTGTTCCAAATTTCTTCTCCAAGTCCACAGTGTACCTTTTCACTTTCTTTTTCCTTTTTTTGGAGAAGCAGTTGCACTCACCAGAGAGACAGAGAGGGAGGGAGGGGAGAAAACTCTTCCCATGGGGAATGGTAGCGCTGCAATCCTTTCTCTTCCATTTCTCCATCCTTTGGGGATTTGGGGCACATACACACATACCCCTGGAGTAATTTTTAAGCCACTGGGTCTGGGACTCAAACTGCATGGTCAACCCTATGGGATCTAGTTCCCTTAACCACCAGCTCACAGGCTGGTCCTATACTTACTTCTTAATTTAAAAAATTATTTCCTCAAAGAGAGAAAGAGAGAACTCCCAACAAAGTCTTGATCCAGCCTTTTTAGTCAGTCCTGGATCCTGGTCAAACATATGCCCAGCATACTCAGGGAGGACTCTGGACTTCAACCAGGAACTGTCTCATGTGGGATTGCCTGGCTGTGGGACTGCCTCCAAGAGTGTGGTATTTTACCATTACACCTCCATCTGGTCCCTCACTTCTTAATTCTTTTATAAATTCTCCTTGACTTTTGATGGGGTTAGTTCCTGATAATTCTATCATAAAGTAGAAAAATCGTGTCAAGCTGTGATTTGTCAGAGACTGTCTATTTTCTTTGTGGATTTCTCTAAATTTTCTATATCCTGATTATATCACTTGTGAATAATGGTGATTCATTTCTGCTTTTCTTTGAACTTTTTATTCCTTTTTCAAGGAAGGTCCTGGATTTGTTAGGACCTCCAGAATAAGCTTAAGTGATATTGAGTAGATAAATATTAATACTGGGCATTTGGTTACTTTCCCTTTTTCTCAAAGAGAAAGCTTTCAACATTTCCCTGCTAAGTATGATGTTTACATATAGGAATTTTGAAGTTATTCTTTTTCAAATTGGGAAGTTTTCTTTTACTCCTTAGTTAATTTTGGAGGCTTGGTTGTTTCGAAAAATGAATTGATGTTGAATTTTCCCACATTTCTGTACCTAGGGCCCCCCACTCCCCGTTGTAAGTCAAGTACCCTTGTATGTGAACCAGAGCCAGTGGCAGGCAGGTTAAGGTGACTGGATCTCACATGGTCGACTTTGCAGTTGAGTTCC